AAATAAACCCAGCTGCAGTAGAATAACAGAACCAAGAGTTGTCCGTACTAAACAAATCTCCTCACTACAAGCTTAATTAGACCCAGCAGAGCCTCTTTGGATAAAGGCACCAAGTTATTATAAAATTCTCCTTTAATTACCTTGATTAAAAAAACAATTTCATATTATATTTTATTAATCTATATTATTAACTGGTCACTTTATTAGGTCCACCTTGCTAGTACAGAGTTAGACCCTTTTTGCCTTCAGAATTGCCATAATTGTTTGTGGCATAGATTCAACATGGTGTTGGAAACATACCTGAGACATTTTGGTCCAAATTGATATAATATAAAATTATAATATCACACAGTTGCTGTAGGTTTGTCAGCTGCTCACTCACGTTGCAAATGTCCTGTTTCACCACATCCCAGAGGTGTTTGGTTGAAGTGAGATCTGGTGGCCGTTTGAGTCCAGCGACTTTAGATTCGTTAGATCAGGCGGTGGTTTTCTCATTTCTAATCATCCAGTTTTGGTAGGCCTGTGCTAATAGTAGCCTCAGTTTCCTGTTCATAGCAGACTGTGTGGTCTTATTGGTGTAGCCATCTGCTTTAAGGTTGGACTTTTCGTTTCTTCAGAGATGATATTCTACATGCCTTTAGTGGAACCATTGGTTCTTTGAGATATTGTTATGTTTGTCATTTCAAGCCAGTCCGCCCATTCTCCTCTGACATTAACTAGGGATTTTTGCCCACATAAATGCCACTTGCTGGACCATTCTCTGTAAAATATAGAAATTGTTGTGTACAAATCCTTCTAGATCAGCATTTTCTAAAATACTCAGACCAGCAATCACGCCACACTCAAAGTCCCTTAAATCCAGTTTCTTCCTTGTTCTGATTATAAGTTTGAACTTCAGCAAGTCATCTTCTCCTCGTCTAAAAGCCTAAATGCATCAAGTTGCTGCCATGCGATTGGCTGATTAGTTGTTTGTGTTAACAAGTAATGAAACGGGTGTTAAAATTAGGCGGCCAGTAAGAGTAAATAGTTGATATTCTGCCTCATGTCAATATTTATCCGTAAATCTCGCTCCTTGCACTCAAACACCTTTTTTAAATTGCTCGGTTACTATTCAAATTCCTTCCCTGTAAACAAAGTTGTACGTTTCCTTTTCGATGAAGATAACCTTGTTGCTGCTGGTGTTGTCTACATTCGATGCCTGACCTTGCAGACATTCCTAGAAGTCTGTGTGAATGTGCACTTCTTCTGCAGCTACACCACGGTGCCCATTCTGTGGGCCACATGTTGGTGGGTGGTGAAGCTCCTCGTGGTTTTGTGTCAAGGTGGTAAAGGTGGGTCTAGTTGGTTTTGTGCCAAAGCCAACACACACACACAGTAACACACACACGGGAGTCCAAATCTGTGTGACCGTTCAAATGAGGCTGAATCAGCAGTGCGCTTGTCCAAGCCACAACAGCATTTTACCACAGCTTCATTTTAGCCCTGTGTGTGTGTACAGGATGCCACAATCGCCTGCGACAAACTCACTGAAATGGCATTGATGGCATACAATAATAAGGGCACACAGCACAGACACAACTCCACTGAGTAATGGCCGGAAAAAAGTTTTGACCAAATTTTCGAAGCACTTTTGTCATTTGAGTAGTGTGTGGTAGCACTGAGTAGTAAGTGGCTTAACAGTCTTAATTCCTGAGTTATCCCATTAGCGGATATACTCGAGCTTTCTCACTAATGGCCTTACAGATGGAGTGACTGACTCCATGGCTGTAAGTGGCAAAAGCCATTTAAAGGTTTCACAGCGAACTGCACCCTTTACGAGATTAATGGTGGGTCTTCAGTGGCTTTGAAGCCTGTGTGAGTCTGATCATTTCTTGTAACAAGGCGTGTGAGTTTTAGCTTTTTTTTGTCCCTGGAAAAGATACTTATCTGTCGAGAAAAAAACAAAACACAAACATCACAGGATGTGATACAAAGTTATCTTTGGAAAGGTGCCACGTTGATCTTCGTGGCCTTTTATTGCAAAACGAGACAGGCAACAAACATTTTGGTAGCTCGCTGCCGTCTAACTTTATATCACTGTTTGGAATTCCTGCGAGAAAAGTTTTCGTGAGATTAGTTTGAGCAGTTTCTCATCTTGTCGAGATCTGTCGTTGTCCACTTTCGCTCTCCGGTATTGAAGTGTTTGTTTGGAAGAAAAAGTCAAAACAAGAGCAGCACAAGGAAGGAGTAAAGGTTTCCCTTTTTAGGACAGCTTTCCTACAGCTGAGACGGGCTATGACACGTCAAATCTGGCTGTGGAATGTATGACAATGGCGGTACGTGTTGTGTGCTTCCCGTGTGTGCCTCTGACCACAAATGTCTGTTTTTTTTTTCACCAGCCAAATGGAAAGAAATCACTCGGAGTTAACTTCACTGAAAGTAGCCACAGCTCTGTTTGAGTCATCTAGGATAAAAGCAGTATCGCATATACACGCTTTATTTAGTCTTTGACCCACATACACAACCACTCATCCTTCCATGAACACACTCAGGCTGGCGTTTGTCTGCACTCACTCAATACGGGAGAATTTATTAATTCAGGTAGACTGAGAGCAGATTTGAGTCTGTGAACTTTTACGTAGAAAATGTTTTTTTGTCTCTGTTTGGAGGTGAGCCATGCTCATGCAATCCAGTTATTAGACACTGCTGAAGTAATTTTGCCCAGATTCTGCTATCCGCTCTGCCCAGTTTCCCTGCGGAGGGTAAAAGTCCAAGAGAAAGGACTCTGTTATGGTCCCAACTTGGACTGGACTGGCATTTAGTTTTTATCATGCCTCTGTAATTTAGGTTTAGGCCATCTGTGGCATCTGTGTAGTTTGCATTTCCTTGCAAAGGTCCGAAATAATTTCAAGCAAAACAACTTTTTTCCTCCCAATTTCTTTGTTTATCCATCTTTTTATATTTACTGTGAATTTATATTTTTGTTAAAATGTGGAGGTTTGATATTCGCTACTCGCTGCTGAAAAAGTAAGGCAGACGATGTCATTGTTGGTGTCCGTGTGTGCGCATGTTGTTGTTTTTTTTTTCAAAATATCTCATGAACCACTTGAATTTTAATCTACAACTAATTAACTTTGGTAGCCAACACAATTCAAGATGGCTGCCACAGCCAACCGGCCTTAAAAACACAAAGATGTTTATAAGATTGAAGAAACTTCGATTGTAATGTTGACTTCACTGTTTTTAATTTATTTTTATTGTTTTTACTGTTCACTGTTTTTATGATCGTTCATGACTTTTACAGTTTTAATAGATTTTTATTTATTTTTTTATGCTTGCTTTTATGCGTAATCAGTGTACAGCACTTTGGCCATCGTTGGTGCTTTTAAAGTGTTTTATAAATAAAGTTGTATTGCATATTGTATTATAAGTCGGTCGGTTTTACACATAATGTAATAAAATTGGGTGTAGCAGTAGCCGAGGCTGATCCCCAACACATTTTGTAGAAAAGTGTTTGTCAAAGGTCGGTTTTAATCCGTTTCACCACAGTGCTGCATGCTGTGTAAAACCGTTTTCTACCATTTTTATGTAAAGCTGCAGGAACTAGACGTGCCCAGATTATAGTGATATTTAATGGCTATTTGATAGTCTGCATTGGATATATTTATGTCTTCGAGGCTTAAATTCAAAGGAGTAAAACCTGGAGTGGGACGTGAATGGTTGGTCAGATTAGCTGAAAGTTGCTGTTACTGGTTAAAATTGCAAGTCTGAGCAAAATTTGCAGAGATTTATTGAATTTACTCTAATAGTTGCAATCACAACTTGGCAACCAACTGGAAGGGGCCAAAAATAATTTTTTTTTCTCTATTCTCTGGTCCCGTTAGTTTAAAAATCTATTTATTTAAATAAATTAACTATGTCGTGGTAGAAAAACTTAATTACAGTTATGAGTGCAAACAGATCTCTTTATATTGAATTGAATTTCTACAAACGGGTTTGATAATCAGTTTAAAAAATGAATCACCTAATCACTTGGAGTTGCATTGTAATAAATTTTTGCAGATACTCTGTGCAAGTTGCTATTGAAAACAGTTTTTTCAGCTAATACGGACCTAAAATGTATATTTTTTTTATGTGCTCATTAAAAAAACAGATGGATAGGTAGAGGTAGATAATATTTTTTATTTATTTAAAATATTCAAATGAAACTGGTACCTTCATTCTACTTGAACGGGTTTAGGCAACGTTCTGGGTGAGGTCAGGACAGAATTGACATTCAGACAATATTGAAGATGTTTTATTATCTGTGGGTTTCCATCAATGTGTACAAATTAGTTTGCACGCCCAACTCAAATCTCTGAACTTATTTAAAAGTTTTTGATAAAGTACACCTGCGTCATTATTTTTCCAGTTTTAAGCTCACACAAACCCAAAGATTTCTTCATACTGTCACAGCATCCATGACAGTTTTTTAGTTTCGTATCACTCCTAACCCCTCTCTTTATCGTTGCTCTCACATTTCTCTTTCCGTCTCACTTTCTCACTAATTCCCAGCCTTCCCACTGAAAATGTGCTAACAAGCTTCACATTCTGCAGCTGAAAACATGCTGTTATTACCTCTTGTCATGTTTCTCACCTTCTAATTTTAATCCTGTTTAGCAGTAACTGTAGAAAGGCTCTAAAATGTGACGTTAGCTTTGCTCTCACAGCTGCTTCGCCGCTCTCAAACCCACTTTATTCTGGACTCCTCTTGTATTGATGCTCTGTTCTTTCTTGCTCTGTTCCATTTTCTCTGTACCTGCTTCTTTATCTCTGTTCATCCCCCGTTTTATTTCTCCTTTTTGTGTCAACTTGAGTGCTTTTTAACCTCCAAATAATACAAGTTTAGTTTTTCTCTGATTTATATCTGTGTGTATACTGGGGTGATTCTGTTGCTCTGTGTTAAATCCCGGTGTTGGTTTATTTTCTTCCTGCTCTCTGATGATGATCCTGTCCTGTCCTGTCCTGTGCTCTGCTCTCAGCGTGTGAATGGAACAGTGTGCGAGTACGGCCTCCCTGCTGGCCTCGGTGCGGGAGCAGGAGAGGCAGTTTGAGATGCTGAGCCGAGCTCTGGAGGAGGAGCGGAGGTCGTGCGCCGGCACCTTGCCCCGCCCCCTCCCCACCTTGCAGGTAATGCCCAGCAGACCACGCCCCTACCACCAGCAACACCATTACCCTCATGCATATTTTTCCACCCAAGTGTCCCCAGATTCTCGATCTGAGCAAGCTCATCTAAAATCTCGTCTCTGGCTGCATGGCAGCTGCGCAGCCAACTGGGCTTAAAATATCTGCATGTATTCAGCTCAAACTTCGGATATTGAAAAACACTTTTCAGTAAAGCCTTCTTGAGCGTGTAATTTATTTCTACTTGCAGCTTTTGATGCCTTACTAGGGTTGGGCGATATGAGCAAAAAAATGTTAATGGAGCTTTATAATGATGTATATCTAGTTTACTTTAATTTATTTTGAGCACCTTATTGTTTAATTCAACACTATAACATAATGCATTCATCCTCTGACCCTCTGTTCCTCACTGGGATATAAAACGATAAACAGTATAACTGTCCTCTCACATTAACCAACTGCAGGAGTGACTTTTGATCAGTCCAGCTCCAGGTTAAAAAAAAAAGATTCAGTCGGAGAGTCTTCTGACCGGTCACATCATTACATCACAGGGGAGCTGAGCACCTGATATCACAACGGTGTTAAATGACCAGACTTGCATCGCATAAAAAACAGTCATTAGAAGCTACTTAAGTTCAAAATAAATACCGCACATTCTGACCAGGAGCTTAATAAAATGGCCGATGTTGAAGCACAATGATCAGTGCTGTAAATCTACTTCAAGACAGAGGAACAAGAACCAAAATAAAGATGTTAGCACAGCAAGTAATTAACAAGTACGGTGCATCCTATGACCCTTCTACCAAATAATGTCCATTCTCTGACCATTATGTCCAGTATCCTGATGCATGCTCAATAATCCAGACAGAAAAATCTAAAAAAGTAAAGTCTGGTCCTCCGGGTTCATAAAACAAAAAAAAAATTGTAGAAACGTTTCGTCTTTCATCCGAAGTCTTTGGGAAGTCTCTATTCAAGTCTTTCAGATGAAACATGAAACGTTTCTACAATTTTTTTTTAAACCCGTCCAGAGGACCAGACTTTGTTTTTAGACATATGTCCAGTAGTTTCTTCTTTGCCTTATGGAGACGGTGTTTCTGCGAGGTTACTTGCCTTGGGAGGGCGCTCGTCCCTTCGGCGTTTGTCGACGGGAATGGGTGGGTTGGTTGGTTAGCATAGTGCTACGTTAGTGCCGGCAGTTGTCGACGGGGGGAAGGTTGGATTGGAGCGCTACATTTGTATTTTGCGTGTTTGGAGTTCGAGCTGCGCTGCTACAATCTCCGCTCCCTGTCTGGAAGTGACAGAGCTGCGTGCGGGGGATTTTGTAGGCGGGGCAGGGTGGGACGCCCTCCTTGACAAAGGGGAAACTGTAGCTATGTTTAAATGCGCAAAATTCTTTGACCGGATTACATGTTTTCAGATTAATGACTGTGGAGACGTTACTGCACTCCTGACTGAGCTACAGGCGATACAGATCATTTTGAGCTCGTTCAAAGTTTCTTATAGAAACGTTGTCGCTCACCGACCAGTTCTACTTCTCCGACGTGCTAATATTATTAGCATTAGCCAGGCGGAAATGACATGGGTCGCACATGCGCAGTCAGGTCAGTTTTTCACCATTGGAAAAAATGAACAGATTAAGTGTTTACATGGACACCGTTCGGATTATGAATAGGCGTAAACCACCCGTTTCGTTCTGATTATAAATTATTTCGGATCGCGATGAATAAACAAAAAAAAATAACTGAATGGGGCGTTTACATGACGCGCTTTTATTCCGAATGGCCGTTTAACCCGATTACTCATGTCTATGTAAACAAAGCTACTGTAGAGCAGGGCTGTTCAACTAAACTGCTCAGGGGGGGCCACAGTTTCTGAAAGCCAACAGCTCGGGGGCCGGACATCCAACGATTAAAATCATTATTTAAATAAACCTAAGTTTACAATGATCTGTTGCCTTTTTAAATGTGTTTATTTTATTGCATTGAATCATAAATGCAATAAACAGAACCCAGAATGCCCTCCCCCTTCAATTATTATTATTTTGTTTATGAAGTCACTGGTCCGCGGGCCACCAGTTGCTGTAGAGTCTACCTACTGGTAGTCTGATAGTTCCCTGTGCACTGAGATAGCTTCTGTTGTGACTTGGCGCTGTATAAATAAATTGAATTGAAATGGTTGTTTTATGCGTTAGCATGGCTTACTGAGTCTCTGAATTGTCATGGAGCCACACACACAACCACTTCAGTTTTCTCAAAGACAGCGTTGATGCTTTTCAGACAAGTGGTAGCATTCAGAAACGTCTAGAGTAACTAACGGCGATGAGCTGGTTCCTATAAACGTCCTGAAACAGAACCACGAGAACCTTCTACGTGAAAAGACTGAACAAGTCTCGGTTATTAAGTTGACTTTTATGTTTTTTATGTCTTCATTTTTAAATCTATGCTACTCCCAGGTAAAAGATCCAACACTGTTTTACCTTCAGAAGTGTTCTCGGGATGGGAGGGGGTGTGATCTGTGATGCATTTGAAGACGCTGGGAAAAGCTAAACTCCTACTGAATTAAATGCAGATGCCTAAAATAGAAATCGGCACAAGTGGAACATCAATATTTTGAATATACTTAATGTATCGCCCAGCTCTACTCCATATCCGTCCCATTTTTTTAACTTTTTTATCTGCTCTGCTTCTCCTTAATAACCATCCATATCATTCAAAACCGTTTTCTTATCAACATAACCTTCCTCTTCTCGAGCTTAAAAACGCTGCTCGTCATGTTTGTCCTGACTTGTCCATGAATGTTTGCATGCAGCGATGAGGCTCGCTTGTTTGGTTTGTTGTAAAAACGGCTTTTATCACTGGTTCATTATAGGAAGTTAACAAATAGAACAGTTTATGGATTCTGTTTAGAATAAGTAAGGACATCCCAGTTGGGATGAGCTGCGTATGGAAAGTAAAACTTGAGTAGAGTTTGTCATTTCTATTTTCTTTATCCTGGATGAGTCGCTAGCCTGATTCAACACCTTTGTTGACTAGTTGGAACGACGTCATGCTCTCAGTTTACTACACCGAGACACGCACTGACTCACGCTCGCTCATTCTTTCACTTTTATCACCATCTTTAGTGCGTCTGAACGGCACGGCATTTTAAATGCACACTTTTTTTTGCCCTCGGGAAACCCTTCAGACACACTGATAACGAGTCGGTCTTTCCCCTCTGACATTTGTCAGTTGTGCAAATCAAAAATCTACTCTGTTCTAGATCATTCTAATGACTAATGCATGGTATGTGTTAGAGATAGAGCAGGTCAAAAATGCATCTTGGGCTGAAACCTATTGCTCCTATGTATGTGTGTGTGTAAGTGTTTACATAGCCCAAAGGTTTCAGCATGCCTCGGCCACTCTCCCGAAACAGCACAGCCGAATTTCAGTCTGTCCTGACAGGTTCCCACAAGTTTACATCTAGCTGACACTTTCTGCTGTCCTACCCACCCATGGCCTAACCTGAGCTAAATAATCTGTGTGCTTTTTGCTTAATCTGCTTCAGTGCTGTGGGCTGTTTGTCTCCAAACATTCATCATCATAGTCTTCAGCTATCAGTGGGGCTCGTATCTGTTATCATTTCATTATTGAATTAGTATTTAGCGTTTGCCCCCAGGCTGCAGACATTCGGGCAGCGATGGAGCTCCTTCAGAGTCAAGAAATGGAAGTGTCTCGCTATCAAAACTCCTGCAGGAGCAATGCTGAAAGTTTTAAACATAAGAGAGGGAAATTGTTCATGCATCTCTCTTTTGAGAGTCCTCGTTCATTTCATCTGTGACTAATCCCATCATTCGTATTGGATTATACGCATGCATGATTGTTCTTTGGCTGCAGAAAGGAAAAAACTTACTCTTGACTGTTACTGACGTTGTTTTTAAAACCACTGTTTTTAAAAACCATCTTGAATTACATCAGAATTCAACGTTCAGTTAACGTGACTAAGATTTAAGTCGACAGTTACCGCTTTTACATTCGTTTCCTTTCTTGCTCGTTGTTCTGGATGATTGGAAATCATCAGTCTTGCAGTCAGTGGTTGGAGAATACAAATTATTTCAAGTTTATTTTAAACCAATGGATTCTGATTAATCTGCGTTTTTCTGTCTCAACAGAACGGTCGTATTCCTTGTGATGCAGACATAGAGAGGCTGACACTGAGCGAGGGTTACATCAACGGGACACATCACGTAAGAGCCTTGGCTTCATTTCAGTCGGAACATAATTGACACAATGAAGTAATTTTCATGTGATAAACTTTTACGCTTTTATTGGAGAAATTTATTTATTTACCCTTTTATTTATAGTCTCATTGAGCCATGAGAACTCAGTTTCAAGAGAGACCTGTTTAGGGAGCAGATGGGGGGGGGGGGGTTAAGGGCCTTGCTCAAGGGCCCAGAGTAGGGTGAATGAGGGTGGGGGCAGGTTTGTGTGCTTCACCTACCCCACCCACATTTTAGATGTTGCTTGAACCGGCAATCTTCCGATCACAGGCCTACCTTCTCTAACCTCTGCGCCACCACTCCCATTTTATTATTAATTCTAGATTCGTGTTTAGCAGAGCCATTTGCATAAAAATAGATTTAACTAGAATTACAACAGATTCAAACACTAAGGGAAGATAAATTATTCTTTAAATTGAATTGGTAAATATATATATTTTTCCTTAGGCTGTGAAAATAAGTTTTGTTTTCTTTTTGTATGACGTGGCAGGTAATTTGCCTTACCTGTGCATGTGCACAGCAACGTCCACGCTGATCCGTAACCCTTAATGACGTCATAATTTGAAATACGAGAGCTAGAATTGACTTGAGTCAATACTGTGTCTGCAGTTCAGGATGGAGCCTGGTCAGGTGATGCAGGAGACGTACACGGTGGAGGAGGATCCTCAGGAGTTGCCACCTGTTGTCTCAGTGGAGACCAGTGACGATGGGACCACACGGCGCACAGAAACCACAGTAAGGACGAGAGCCAAATTAGCTGCTGCAGATTTGTCCATTTAAAGCAAAACCTAAAAATAGAAAAAAATAAAAATTGTCATTAAAGTTGTAAAATAAGTTGTTTTTTTCCCTATTTTTTTGCAGTTTAATTGAAAGGCTTTCCATTACAGTAGTCCCTCGATTATCACAGGGATTATGTTCTGGACACCCCCGAACTAAGTGAAAAACCGAAAATTTGAAACGCTATATTTATTTTAGTATTTATACATATTTTAAGGCTTTATAAACCCTTCCCACACTCTTGCAACATTCTAAACTCATAAACCGACATAATTTTAACAACATGCATATATGTACTGTACAGTACTGCAAAGTTTTAAATGGGGACTCACCAGCCTTGGTCCGGTTCTGGTCCGGTTCTGATCGGCTCTACAGCCGTCGAGCACCAGATGCTTTTGGAGAGAGCCGACACAAAACCACACAATGGTCCCGATTGAGTCCAAATAATCCAGAAGAATCTGGTGAAAAAAGTCCGCGTGAGCTCCGGAGAAGACATCGGACCTCCAAGCAACGCCTCTCCACTCGAGAGGCTTCATGCCAGCAAGCAGCGCTCAGATTGACTCATGAGGCTGGAAGTGGCCTTGGTCCAGTTCTGGTCGACTCTCTGCGTCCGCTGAGCGCCGAAGTCACTATGAATAAAGACCGAACTGTTTAGTCAGGTTCAGATCAGATCGAAACTTTCCCTGTATTTTGTCAGAAAGCAGTGGCCAGAAGCACTGTTGCCTTCTGGGTAGTGTATTTTATTTTTTTTGGCTGGCCTTACAGTGTAGGCTTATTGAAAGAAAACTACAAAATGGTGGCCCCTGTCCAAAGTATTTAAATTTTTTTGGTAAACTTTTCATCTGTACTGTCCTAATCATGTGAGTAGTAATAAAGTTGACAATCATTTTTGTTTTATTTTTAAAGGTGAAAAAAGTTGTAAAGACCACCACCACTCGTACGGTCATCCCCTCCATGTCAGACACTCTGTCCATCGATGGTGGCGGTTCAGGTGTGGGGGGCTACACTTCTTCACCCATGGACCTGGGCTACAGGCAGGGCCCTGGAGGTGGCGTACCCATGGACTACCCTGTCCGCACTGTGCCCCGCAACTACAACTACGCTCCTCCAGAGGGATACAACGACTACCGCACTGTTCCTGATGCGTACACGAGCCTCAGCAGGGGCGCTCGTATGGACGATCGCTACAGGTAATGTGTTCAAATCTGCGCCGCTGTGTCACGTCAGGGGTCTTGATCACTCTTTAATTTTATTTTTCACGTTGCATCTTGGTTTTTAAATGTCTGGTGGCTTGAGTCAGTTTTACTGAAGAACAAGAATGTAAACTGTTTTTACAACCTTCATTTTGAGGTTAAAAGTGTACATGTTGGAGATTTTTGTGGAAAAAAAAATTTTTTTTTGAGTTCCTTTTGAAATGTAGGTAATAAACCACATCTCAAACTGGTTCACGTGAAATATTATATCTCATTTTGTTGTAAATGGTGCACCATTTACTCCTGAATGCAATAAAAACTAGAGAAAGTGCAATTTCTGCAAACATACAATGTAAAGGTTGAGTGCTGAATGGGAATTTTTTCTCCTTTTGAAAGGTGGCACGGCATGAAAAGTTTAATCACTGGATTAAAGACATTTTGATACATGTATATATATTTTCAGAAGCATTTTAAATCAGTTTTTTCCCCTCCTCGTGTTCTCCCTCAAACCTTTTCCCTTTCTTCTCGTCAGACCGGTCCATCCAGATGGTTACAGAACTCTGGATCCGAGCTACAGGGCTCCCAGCAGAAACCAGTTGGACCCATATGCCGCTCAGCCCCAGGTACGTTTAACAATCATTGCATCAGTTGCCTCGAGGCACGTTTTGACAGGATGTTTCCTCGGCCTGCTGATCTTTCACGTTTAACCGGCTGTAATAAATGTTGTTTGTTAAATAGGCTGGTTTGTTGTTGTTTTTCTGAATCATAAATGTTTCTGTTTAGGTCGGGCCTTCAGAGCTATCCTCCATTCCAAGGTTTGTCCCGGATCCGTACGGTCTGGAGGATGATCAGCGCAGCATTGGCTACGATGAGCCCGACTACGGCATGGGCAACCCAGTGCACTACAGAACCATGCCCCTCAACCACCATGCCTACGCTGGTGTACCCCCACGCAGGACTGGGTACGCGTGCATTGTACAGCTGCGTCTTGGGTCAACTTTGTGTGGGAGTTTGCAAAATAATGTCCGTAGTATTGATTTTGTGACGGAACATCTGTTTATGTATGTCTGTGTGTTTTTTGCGCCTTTTCTCCCATTTTCAGGAGTTACGAAGCTCTTTTGGATGGTGACCTGAGCGGTACAGGAGACGTGTTCTTTTACGGTAGAGGGGCACCGTTGGCTCAAGGGGAGAGGGGAAGCATGGCTTCGTTGGACGGTACCCTGAGGAAAGGACCCCCTCCTGGTGGTTGGCGTCAGCCGGAGCTGCCGGAAGTTATCGCTATGCTGAACTACAGGCTAGACCCCGTCAGGAGCAACGCAGCTTTGTATCTGCAGCATCTCACCTATAAGAACGACAAAGTAAGACGTTTTGGGTGTGCGGTGGTTTTCACATTAAAGCTCAGAAAGTTTAAAACTTTGCTTGCAGGAAATGTATGAGGTCGGCTTCACCTGAGATGATCAGAATGTCTTTAGAATCAGGATAAGTTTTATTATCATTGTACCAAAATACAGTGAGGCTGTTGTTGTTGTGAGTCGAGACGGTTCTTCTCATCCTGAACATTTCATTGCATTGTTGACCTTGCGTTGATTTGCCTATGACATAAACCCAACTTGACGGCCCTTTTGATAAATTGCATGTTTATTTTCAGGTCAGAA